AAAATCTTATTCCATCGGGATACAGTCATATTATCAGTACATGCAACATTTTGTGTGAAATTTAAATTTTATTTTTTGTCAAGCAAGTAGGGCATCGTAGCACATTTCAGGTTAAGGGTGTTTATGTATTTTTTCTCCAGGTTTAATTAGCCATCATTATATAAGTAAAACTTAAACTGATTTTCTTAACGCTATTTCATTATTATCTTAATTTTTTTCAATGAAAAACCTCTAGGAAAATTTGAAAGTTTACTTGAACTTTACGGAATTATCCCAGCAGATTTTTCTTCTGAAAATTGCTGTACAAATGTTATATTTTGTCGACATTATGATAATATCTATAATCTATATATATATAATTCATAATTACATGTACTTTATCCATGATGTACAGATATTAATGATAAATATGAATTTCTTCCATTTCAACAGTGTTAAAGATATTAAGATATAATTAAGTTCTTTTTCAGATTATTCTCCGAAAAATCTCCATTAAACGAACATAATTGATAAACTGATTATTTTAACCTCTTCAAATCTGCTTCTTTTGACCTCCATCAAATGAAAAAGTTTCGCTGTGTATGTTACATATCGTAATATGAATGAAATAAGTAATAAAATCACATGATTTTCTTTACAGATAACATCCTAGCTATATACATTTCCGTACCAACTGCTGTCCTTCTGATTGCTTTTATTATAGCATTAATTATATTTATTCTGATAAGAAAATCAAGGTATGTTAAATTTTCAAAACTGAAGCAAAATAAAGCGAATCTAAATGAAGCAGGACCTTACATATGATTTTTTTTTCAGATCCAAGAACAACACTACAACCGAAATAAATGAATGTAATCCCTACGAAACTGAGGCCTTGGGATGTCGTCAATATGTCCATGTATATGATGTGATTAACAATACTAACAACTATGAGCAATAACTAGAGTTACATGGTTCATAATACTATGAGTGATAAACATTAAAACCGTTGTTGCTCTAAATGATCAATAGTTCTTTGGACATTTTTCAACAATGGTTGGTAAAATGGTAAAATTAACGATTTTAATTGTAAACTTAAGGAACTGCATTTAGATACAAATAACTGAATATAAATGAACCAAAATTAAGCCCTACAGCGAGAAAAAAAATGAGTATTGAATTTATTTCTCTCCATAGTGTCCATGATGTTTACAATTGAAAAAAAAGACGAGAAGAAAGTCAATAAAACAGACTTCAAAAATGATTTTCGCTTAAGAAAAGTAACAATACGAAAACATACTGGTTAAGGACAATTGGGTGCATTTATCTACGATCTTCGTACAATTATCCAATATAAATTTACACAAATTTACTTTTAATTCATTACTACATTATGCAAAAATAAGAATAGTCGTGTTTTCATCACTTTTTCACCAATCTTTACTCTGTCACTTTGAAAATCTATGATCTGAAAATAATATCTTTTTAAAGACTTGTTTGTATTCTTTGACAAACAATAACACCTTGGAACTGTTTTGACGGATAATGCCGATGAATGACTTTTTATAGACCTTAATGTTTGACGGAAGAAAATACAGATCCTTGACAACAATTGCAGTAAATAGTAACAATTTTCGATCACAAAATGTTTCATTCTTGTATTCAATCAAATTTTTATTTTCAAATTGAAGTTCACACTATGCATTTCTTACTAATATATGTTAACTACTGATTCAGAACTTTCTACAGTATATTTATATAAAAAAATCTACACTGACCACATACCGAACTCATCACTGGTTATGAAAACAATGTTATTAATACTGATCTTGCTCTTGAAAATTCTAATGAATAGTTCTACTACATCCCTTCATTTTAGGCAAACCTGTTTTAATTATCAAATGAAACCGATTGCTTCAATAAAAAAAAATTAATACTCGAAAAAATACATGTAATGTTCTTGTTGTAAGATTTAATTAGACATCTAGATTTAATTTTTTGTCTTATTCACTAATCAAAAACTGAAATTCAGCTATGTACATGTAACACGTATAACAGGTCCATAAAATTGAAATGAAAGAAAAGGATTACAACTGACAATTTCTAAATGAAATTGTATTTCCCATTTATACAGTAAAACTTGGTTAAAAAGAAGTCATACGGACTAATGAAATTACTTTGCTATATCCGTAATTCGTTATATCCGTATAAGGAATTCGTGAAATTTATATAGCTGGGGATCCAAGATAACCTTGATTTATCCGTGAATTGACAGTATCCGTGTTCATACAGATTAACTGTGTTGTAAATAAATTAAGTTGTTCATGTACTAATTTGTATCGATTATCAAGTTAATTTAATGAAATGTATTTATAAATCTGAAATCGATTTCTTTTCTTTTTTGCTGATACTCCAAATGACGAGTTACCGTTCATCGATTGCTTTCTGACACCAAAGCAAGTTTCCGTCTGCTTTAGGTTGCAATAACTTTAAAATCTAAACCCGCACACACACTTTTATAAATTCTGCAATTGATATAATAGTAAAAAGAGAATGATACATTACAAAATCTGTACCAAAAACCCCGGAAGAACCCGAGACTTCAATATTAGCCCGAGTCCCGAAGGCCAGGGCTGTTATTTGTCGAGGATTGTAAGGGGTGTGATACAGATTTTTTCTTTATTGTTGTTTTTTTATAAAATTGAAAATAGTGTTAAAAAGCATAGACTTGTAAATAAAATACCTGATCTGTCATAATGGACTATGTTCTTTTTTTTCATACCTCCCGCTTGAAAAGTGGGAGGGTATATAGTAATCGTTATGTCCGTCCGTCCGTCTGTACGTCCGTCCGTCCGTCTGTTACGCTTTGGGGTACCCATCTCTTATCCGCAACTCCTTTTATACTACTGAGTGAAATTTAATGAAACTTTCACAGAATCTTTATTACATATTGCCATTGTGCATCTCCTATTTCTCCTTTTTTATTCGAGACGTATTGTAGGTTTCCCATAGCAAGACAAGGACATTTCCATTTTATTTTTACCTTTGACGTCACATATATGGCGCTTTCTGAATAATATTTGATACGACGAATTATTCCTCTTTACACATTACCGAACAACAATACACAGCAAAACATGGAGGAAGGCGGGGGGTATAATTTAGTGAGCTCATTGCTCACAGTACCTCTAGTTTTTTGGTTGAATCTACTCTGAATGAGAAATAGAAAAATTTTCCGGAAAGGTTTAAAAGAAGTGTTAAATATAAGATGCTGATAAAAGGTGCGATTTACAGGGCGCGTGTCTTTGTTCAGATCAGGGAAGCAAAAATCCTGTATTATATAAGATAATTATTATAACTTTAGTTAATAATTATATGTATAATATTACAACAGAAAATTCATTCTAGAATTCAATTCCTTTGTTGAAGAAACAATTAATAAAATCAATCAGTGAGGGTGTTTTGGGCATCAATAAAAAACACATTCTAGAACTTGATTAAATACTAGTATTAACTGATTCTTCTCGCATTTGTTTCGCCGATGGAAACTGTGTACAGTTATTGACTTGGGATGAGGGCAAGATATAATTTGTTGGACCTGAAGGTGAATTTGTTGCCCTTGGCCTGCGGCCTTGGGCAACATTTTCAGCATCATATATTTGGCTAAATCGATGAAAATAATAAAACTATTATATCGCTAAATATACTTATCATAAAACATGCTCTCCACGTGTCTCTGTCTTTCAAATACAAGTAGCAACAACTTTTGCAGCTCTAAACTTCGGCTATTTCTTTGTCTCCGATCTAGTGCCGTTCCGGTAACAATTCTTATATTCGACTTTCAGGCGATGAAAGCAGAGCAAGCCGTGAAATTGTTAGACCGATGTAATAAACATTTCTTTAGTTCGACTTTTTATCAGTAATAAATATATTGAAAGACATTTATACATTCATTCAATTCCAAATCTATCAGGGCTTTTAATCTTAATATATACTAAAAATAGACACTTCATTTTTTAGGACTAACATGTTTGATCAAGTAGGGATATAGGTGGCCTAATGAGTAAATGTGGTATTATCTTCCTTGTTGTGATGGAAGGAATTTTGTTATTTGGTTTTATTTTCAGTTATTTAGGTAAGGACTTTACCTGTTTATACTTTTAAAAATTTATTTATGATATGCATGTACATATTAACGAATGTTTAGATCTTAAAGATACATTAAAAAGCTGAATCTATTAGGAAATGGAATAAAGCTCGTGTAAATCAACGTGCACTTTTCAGGAAGTGACATGATTATGACAGGTTTATGAAGTTATTATTTTAGAACAAATGATACGATAAATTCGACAAGATAAATAGATAATTCATAAATTGAAGACAAGAATCATGCCACATGTGCTTTTTTCCAGGTATTTGCTTCGCTGGAAATCATCAGGGTATACGAAATTTGCATTACATTTACTTAATGAATCATATAGAAAATATTTATCTATTTCTATTGTTGAAATATATTTCAAACTTCATTCAAATGATTCCAGATATTACATTTTGCAAAGCTGAAGAATCAGTTGATTATGATTTACATCTACACGTTCCGAAGGTATCAGACTTACCGTGTTTGTGTCAACTATCAACCACCAACTGGACAGAACCAAACAAAATACATATAACATGGGCATCTCCTCTACCTCCTACTGACTGTGGTTTGAATATCGAAATTAAAGAAAAGGTGAGTACCAAAATTGTAAAATGCGATTACCTAAATATGTATATCTCACTGAATGACAGTACACCTGTCCACCTCACCCTGGTTAACAAATCAGATTCAACAACGGCTTCTTTTCGTTTCATTACAAGATCTCGAGGTGCGTTATGTCGTTTTATATTTAAAGCACTTATTAAGATATTCCTTTCACATTTATATTTGCTTGTTGTTAACAGGTAAAATATATTATTGTCTTGAAGCTGCATAGTTTTTCAACTGAAGGATGTTAAAGTAATTTTTCAGGAAAAATTCAGATCCGCTGTTTAGGAGATAATAAATCAGTGTCGGTACCATCATCAGTGACAAATTCTTTCTCTTTACCACACTCGGATATAAGTCTTACACGCACATCCAAGGACAACACTAAAGGTAGGTTATCATTAAAGTATATAACTAATAAATAATTCACAAAAGTTAAATTTTTTTCACTATTGTTAGACGATTGTTTAGATTTATTTTGATACTATTGAAATACATTATCAACAGAAAACGTAATAAAACTCTTGACAATATTTCGATACTAGTACACTCGTATTTATAATTAGTAAATACTAGTTCTAACCGTGCTTAGATTTGACTACCTAAGCAAAACTAAACTCGTCGGTAGAGGTGACTTAATTGTGTCTACACGTTTGTATAAACATATGTTTTGAGCTATTAAAAATTGAATTTCGACGTAAAAACATTCCTCTATGCATATCAAACATTGAAGAAAATTAAAATTTCTACGTAATAGTGCTATGTGAATTTTAGTTTTACGTTGGGGGGAGGGGGGCATGGATGTGTAATTGTGTAATGTAATGGATCGCTTATCCCTATGTCACACTCAAAATGGCATACTGTAGATCCAAGATTGGTGGAGGGGGAGTGATTTTTAAATACTAGTGGGGTATAGGCTAAAAACTCTAATCATTATAAGTAAATTTGTAGACAATAATTATTGATTTGTATGTTCTCTATTAAAAAAAGAAAAACATGTATTATTAATTTTGAAAAGTTTTAAAATTGTAATAGTTTGTAATTCAGAAATTAAATTGGTGTTTGTTTTAAAACAAGCACAACTGCTTCTTTTCATTTCATTACAAGATCTCGAGGTATGGTATGTTGTTAAACATTTTAAGCACTTAGAAAAATATCCTTTTTTCGTTTATATTTACTTGCTGTAATTAGGTAAATAATATATAATTGTTTTGACAGCTGTATAAATTTTCAATGGAAGGTGGTAAAAAAATATCTCAGGAAATATTCAGATCTGATGTTCAAATGTTTCAGGAGATAATGAATCAGCGTCGATACAATCATCAGTGACAAATTCTGTCTCTTCAACACACCACAATATTATCAGTCGTATAAACACACCCAACGACAACACTAAAGGTAGGCTATACTTAAAGTGTATACCTAATAGATAATCCACAAAAGCTAAATATTTCACTCTCATTTTTTAAAAACTTTTTTATTCTTGATATATTTGATACATAATATATATTAAATATATAACCAATAAAAAACGTACAAAAACTCTACAATATGTGGATATAAGCCTTGACTTTTTATGTTTGATATGACGTCAAGAGAATGATGAAAATTTAAGATTTCCATGATTTCTACAGAAAAGGGGGTATATTACGTCGATTTTTTGAGTAAAAGTCACTGAGCGCAGGTCTACTCCAGCTCAATATTTTGAAATAGGACTGTTCAATAGATAAAGTCCTCGGTGCTCGGAAAGAAGCTTTTCAACGATTTAGTCTAAATGATTTAACTTAATATTCTCTTTCAATTAAAACACGTCCGTAAAATTTTTTATCCATTTGCTGATTGTTTTTAGAACTCATTTTTGGGTATGACCCTAAGTATACTGGAAAATGGCAGATCCAATGATTTCCTGGACTCGTGTCTCCCTTCTGAAAGATGTTTTTTTTTCAACTTTGGAAAATAAGATAAGTCAAAGGCGAAAGATATGGCGAATATTGTAAATGTGAAAAAAATTAACTTTCTGATTATCCAAAATAAAAACCTCCTTTACTCTTTAGAGCTTGCGGGTTTGGACGCTGTCATGAAGAAATTTAATGTAGTAGATTCCTGATTCTGGTTCCTTCCTCTCATTAACCTTTTGATTTTTAGCAAACAATTGCTTTCTAGACTCTTCCAGAAATTAAGCTGGCTCCAAATACAAATTTGAAACAAGACCACTAATATATATTTAAAGTTGCATATAAATCTGTGTTTGTGCTCTTGAAATTCTGTGCTCTTCTCAGACCTTTGCTATTTTTGTCAAGTACCTCTTATTGTAAATTTTGTTTCGAGGGTATAAAGCAATCGATTCAAGTGTCTTTATCTGTTTGTATTTCAAACAAACGTGGATAACTACAATTACATGTACTGATATCTTAAAATAATTGTTCAGATATTCTTACACGCTGTCGTTTTCATTCATTTTACAAAACATAGGGTGACCTTTGAGTACTAAGCTTTTTTACTGTCAAACGTTTCTTTTAAACAGTGTGTACTACTCTCGAAATGATGTCTATCAAATCTGTTATGTGTTTTAAAGTCAATCATACAACACCAGTGACTATTTGTTGAAATTTGGCAAACAGTACATTAGTTGTTATAATTTTAGTTGGCATGGACGGCATCCATGTTTGATGCCCATTATATAATTTTTAGCTCACCTGAGCCGAAGGCGCAAGTGAGCTTTTCTGATCACATTTTGTCCGGCGTCCGTCTGTCCGTCTGTCTGTCCGTTCGTCTGTCTGTCTGTAAACTTTTCACATTTTCGACTTCTCCTCAAGAACCGCTGGGCCAATTTCAACCAAACTTGCCACAAAGCATTCATGGGTAAAGGGCATTCAAGTTTGTTCAAATGAAGGGCCACGCCCTCATTCAAGGGCAGATAATTTGGAATAAATAAAAATTTGATGGCATTTTAAAAAAATCTTTTCCTCAAGAACCACTGGGCCAGGAGAGACGAAACTCATGTGGAATCATCTTCAGGTAGTGTAGACTCAAGTTTGTTCAAATCATGACCCCCGGGGCTAGGGTGGGGCCAAAATGGCCCACCCAAGTTTTACATAGGAATATATATGAAAAATCTTTAAAAATCTTCTTCTCCAGAACCACTGGGCCAGGAAAGATGAAACTCATGTGGAATTATCCTCAGGTAGTGTAGATTCAAGTTTGTTCAAATCATGACCCCCGGGGCTAGGGTGGGGCCAAAATGGCCCACCCAAGTTTTACATAGGAATATATCTAGGAAAAATCTTTAAAAATCTTCTTCTCCAGAACCATGGGCCAGGAAAGTTGAAACTCATGTAGAATCATCCTCAGGTAGTGTAGATTCAAGTTTGTTCAAATCATGACCCCCGGGGCAAGGGTGGGACCAGAATACATGGAAAAAAGGGGGAGAGGGGGGTAAAAGTCGACAAAATTACGAATTTTATTAATATCATGTAATATATAGAAAAATAAAATATTTTTACATATATAAACTCAAGCTTATCCATGCATATTTAAGTCCTCATTAAAAACACTGTCGGGTATCCGCGCCGGTTGTGACATGTTTGGATGCGGTGAAACTGGCGTAAAATGTACAAACGCTTAATACTGTGTACCTTTTCCAGGTCTATATTTTTGTAAATATTAATTTTTTTCTCAATTTTTTATTGAAATTTTATAGGTATTTGGTTAATCAAAATGATGTGTTTCTATTCTGTTTATAGAGTTCATTTAAATAACTCGTCCATGCAATTTTTTATCGATGCACATGACATTCTTACCACTTTAGCAAGTTTTAATTCGTGATTGTTAAAATAATATCAAATATATTTAAAATCTGAAGCAGCCAAAAGAAAGAAAAATCATTTTACAAATAAGATATTGAAAGTGTAATTTGTGTCCCATACAAGAAATGTATTAAAAAACGTTTTATTTTATGTATCCGTAACAAATATAGTACGGTTTGGATGATGGGAGTGTTCTGGTTTGGATGCAAATTCAACATCAAATTTCTGAATCCTGTAGAGCTATGCGAACAAGTTTGCTTGTTTAATACGCCCTTACATGGAGGAAATGGCGTTTATGATAACATATATATTAGTATCAATTCATATAACTTTTTCATAGGCACATAGATGAAAGTTGAAAAGAGCCATGCACCTTTCCCTTTTTCAAACATTGTTTTTGCTGTAACAGTTGTCTTGATTTCATATAAAAATGTTGAATCCCTTTTCCACCACATGATTTAAAGGAAAGTTTTCGATCACACCCTTTTCTTCTTTAAAAATGATACTACGTGCCTGATAGCATAAAATAAATGTAAGATATGTTAAGTATATCCCGTCAACAGTGAGTTACCAAAGAGTTACTCTAAATCCCCCCCCCCCCACTTTCCTTCTCAAAACGACATAATATACACTGTATACAGATTCAATGTAGTCTCGACTGTCTCAAACTGGATTAGAAACCGCAGCGTTATGATTCTACATACTTTAGTGTTTGACACTAAAATATGAAACCATAATGCTATCTGCAGCTAAAACTGGATGAACCTTGTCATTCTTGTCTTGCTGTCCAAAAAAAAAAATTCTCCAGTACTACGTGTACGAATTCCTTAGTTTTTGTGCAATAAACTGCATACGTATTATCTACTATACAAATTGCCCGTTATGCAGATTATCCCACGTTTCCAACATTCGTCGGTGCTCTTGCATCGAATGCAATGCGCACTGGTTAGAGCGTATGCTCTCGAGTCAGGAAGGAAAGAGTTGGTCCTCACGTCGCAGGTTCGAATCCAACTGTGGGAGAGAGCGGTCCTTCGGATGAGACCGTATAAACCGAGTTCCCGTGTCGCAGTAAGTGCTGGCACGAAAAAGATCCCTCACTGCTCAATGACCCTGAATGCTGAGTATAGGACATAGAAGGTGCTCACAGCTGTATTGAGCGACTGATCGTGTAATGCCGGACCCCAATTTGTAGTGATTTTAATTTTGTAATAAGTTTGCCACATTGATTGCCTATGTTATATTCTCCCTCACTATGTTCATTCCAATATAAGATAATTATATTCTAAGTATGAGATTAATAAGAAAAGAACTCTATATTACATAGGCATTGAACCCGAGGGGGGGGGGGGGGGGTTGCTATCATTAAATAGGCATGCACTAAACATCTGGGCGTTCTTTACATCCCCTACCCACTTTCAACAGCCAAATAATCAAAGAAGGGTAAGCAGTATATACGCAGTATATATCAGGTTCGAATTTTTTGGTCTTTCAATTAGCCCCCCCCCCCCCTTCTTTTGCTTCTGACGCCAATATGTCAGGATTGGTACTCGTTATAAACTTTTATTTTGCATTGTATTATATAATTATAATATATACTGATTAATTTTATTATAAATAATTATTTCATGAATCAATATATTCAGAGAATAGAATAGTATATATTCGTTGTACGTATAAACCGAACATGTCTGATTACGTAATAAGAGAATGAAATGAAAAAAGAACAGGAAACAGTATAATGACTAAGGGCTAAAAAAGGGGGGGTCGGCTACTTACACCATTTTCCCCCAAATATAAATCATAATTATCCTCTTACTGTGGAACTTGTTCATTGAAAGGCCTGTAACCCTAATCTCTTTTTTGCGGGGTTGCAATACAGTCAAGTCATCCTTTCGTAGTACTTGTTTGTGATCCCCCCTTTTTTTTTTTTACGAAATATGATTTATTAAGTTTTGATATGTAACCATTTATTTGTTCGTTAAATATGTTTCCAGGTAAGTTTTCAAACAATTTATCTGGAAACCCCGCCCCTTCCTTTAAAAGTGTTAAATTGACATATTATACCACAATATTAAGTATAATTTTATATCAACGAATCTCATCCAAACCGTATCACAACTTCGTCCAAACCGTACACAGTTTTTTAAACACTGTCATCCAAACATGTTACGTTGTTCTATAGCATGTCACCATCGGAGCAGTTTCTTTGCATTAAATTCGTGGATTTATGGCAGAACTACAGGATAAATAATTGCTTTTAAAAACAGGCTGTCTCTTAGTTGTAAAATTACACACTACAGATTCCATTTAATAAGACTAAAACCTTTCGATGAATAGAAGCGGTTGTTTGACTCCGCCATTTTCACTGCATCCAAACATGTCACAACCGGCGCGGATACCCGACAGTGAAAAAGGGTGTGTATAAACACTTCAACATGTTCAAAAAGAAAGATTAAGATAATTTACTTTTTTGGTTGCAGTGTTTGTTTGTTTTTTCTAACTCACAAATGGAAATATAACAAGATAAAATGAATGAATCTGTACCAAGAAATTCATACTTTAAAATAAATTATGTTCCAAAGTTGTTTATTA